AGTATTGTGATGGATTTATCAACATGTATCCATTAGTGATAATTGCAAGTATCTTTGACCCAAGGAATAAGATGCAATTTAGATCTATTTGCTTTGACAAGTTCTACGGAAAAGACAGTGAGGAGAGTAAGCATCTAAAGTCCTCAATTAAGAATGTAGTGAAGAATATGTATGAAGAATATGTCTCGTGGCTGAGCACCTCCTCTCAAGGTGGATCTAAGAGTGATATAGGAGATGCAGAACAAGCAAGTGAAGTTCTTTTTGATTTGTCGGATGAGGATGGGTATGATAGAGAGTCTTTGTATGAAGAGATGGATAATGAAACTGCTAATGAGGAAGCTAGTAGTGAGTTAGACATATACGTGATGGAGAAATTTGTGAAGCGAAATAAAAATGTCTTGGTCATGGATTATGATGTGCTAGCATGGTGGAGGCAGTGTGAAATTTCCAATATTAGTTGAGCTTGCTAGGGATGTGCTTGCCATTCAAGTGTCATCAGTGGCTTCTGAGTCAGCATTCAGTACAAGTGGGAGGATTTTCGACCCTTATAGAAGTTGCTTAACACCTTATATGATTGAAGCTTTGCTTTGCTTACAACAGTGGCTGAGAAACACTATGGAAGCGGAAAAGATTGCAAACTTGGCTCAAATGCTTGATGAATTGGAGTTCCATAACACCTTAGGTTATTAATTACCCTGTTGTATCTGGTTTTACCTTATCTCATTTATTTCTTGTGGGTTTAAGACTTTGAATGATTCAAGCTTATGAATATTTGATTCCTTGTGTAGCTTCTCCTTCGGACCAACCTCAGGCTGACGTGTGAGCTGCATGTGTGGTTAGAGACTCAAGCTGAGATAACAATGGCTACTTGGTAGGAAACATTCTATGATCTCTGATCTCTCTTTCAATCTAATCTCACTATGATCTCTCTTTCACTCTAATCTCTCTCTGATCTCTTTGTCTTTTTGACTATGATATCTCTTGGATTTGGACTTTTTTATGTTTGTGTCATTATAACTTGAAATTTGAACTTATTGGTAGTTAAAAACAGGTTATGTATGTTTATTGCTGAGGAAATGTTCACTCGTGCTTGATTTTTGTCAAATTTTGATGTTTATAACTTGTAATTCGGACTGGTTCGGAACCAAAAATTATTTACCGAAATAGATTTCGGTTATTCTCAGAACAATGTGGAAATTTTGTAAATAACCGATAACCGGAATACCCGAACCGAACCGACCCAAACTACCCGAATTCCCAGGGCTAAAAACCCCCAAACAAATAAATCTAACCTCGCATTTAGCATCAATGTCCTTAGAGTTCTAGAGCTTCAAGTGGAAAATCTGCATGCGAGGGCAATTTTCCTCCTCAAAATCAGGATAAATATGATCATCTAAGCATGGACCTTCCTACATAGCCGGTATTGCATGAAGAACAACTAGCTGAAGAGTGTATAGTAATCCCTGGACAACCACAAAATTTGTTGCAAGCTCTTCAACATATCTCTCTTTTATTGACGTCATCATCATCTCAAATGATAGCCTACCCCATGGATAATAGAGAGATGTATCAAGGTTCTCAGATATTTCAACATGGTTTTTTTATTTATTTTTATTTTTATTTTTTTTGTCATCCAGCATAGTTTTTTTATATTTTTGGATTAAGGGAAGTAGGGAGCAGAAATCCGACGACAAGGGCCAAATATGCATATCTCAGCATCTGTTTATCTTTGACTGTCTTCTTCTTTAGAATGTTGATAACACATAATAAGGTGCTAAACAGAATTTTCTTCCTGGCTGTCCCTAGCCAAACCGTGACTAGTTTGAACTCTCTTTAAAAAAAAAAAGATGCTCGACAAACCCCACCCATATCTTTTAGATTTCGCAACATCCAACTAATTTCCCAGAATACACAACCCAAAAGTAGTAGACCAGTTAGGGTGGCTTGGGAACTCGAGCAATATACCAAGCAAGGACCCACTAATGTGAATCATCGTTTTTACCTTGTAGTATACATTCACCCTCTATCCGACAAGTTCTTCACAAAAATTAATCAATCAATTCGGGAGATTAAGCGGTTCCATCTAAAAAACAACTGGTAGCATTTTTAGCAACCCATTTGCCACACCGGCATTAAAGAAAAAGAGGTAATATCTCTATATTAGTAAAAGAGAAGTACAAAATTGAATACCGGTCGGATCAAAATAAAAAAAGTAAACCCGATTTTATTTCAAAGTTTTAATATTTATAATATATGAACCTTTAGAAGTTTCAATATTTATATTATTTTAAATTTTTAAAAAGATTAAAAAATTATATATTTTGAAACTTTAATAAATCTTTAAAATTTTAAATTGTTTAACTATTATAATATTTTGAAGTTTTTTAAAATTTATAAATTTGCTCAAACTTAAAACCGGATTATATCAAAAAAACTTTTAAATTTAAATGCCTTATAAATCAAACTTATGGCTCATTTGTAGTTCGAAGCATGTTGGTCTTATTTATAATGATATGAACTGTTGTCAAAAAATTATTTTGGCTTATGTGGGACGCTGTACAAACATTATTTTTGACAATCAAGTAATATATGTCTGTTTTGAAAATTTCAAATTACAACATATGTAAAAAATATGTTGAATTTTTATCATACAATCGTATTATATATTGTTATATAATAAATTAAAAATAAGATCACATTAAAATCAAGAGAATTTTTGAGAAATACCCCTTTTGGTGTACCCCTTTTTAAAAATACCCATCTTTTCTTTTCATTTTCAAAAATACCCCTTTTCAAATATGAAAAATTATAAGCTTTTATATGGTTGATAAGGTACATCAACATCATCATTACTACTAGGAGACTAAATCCAAATATTTAGAAAGTTTTAAAAGGTTCTAAACGGCATTTATATGGTTTTTATAAGGTTTTTAAAAGGTTTACACAGTTTTTATAAGCTTTTTATATGATTTTTAAAAGGTATTTATACGGTACTTATGAAATATATATATATAAATTTACACACATGTAAAGATAATTTGTGTCTATACATATAAGTTAATACATATTTTTTTTGATAAATTTCAAATTTTATTGTGACTTTTTGATAAAATTAGAAACAGGGGTATTTTTAAAAAGTGGTATTAGAAAAGGGGTATTTTTGAAATTCCCCCTAAAATCAAAGGAGAGTAATAATTGTTTTTAAAATATTATTTTCATTAGTTAGAAAATATTAGGAAATCCAAAATTAAATATGGAAATGATATAATTATAGTTACCTAAATATATGCAATGAAATTTAATATGAAAATAATCATTTGTGTAATTAGCGACTGCCGATTAGCGACTACACGTTTTAGTCGTCATATAGTCGTACAATATGGAATAGGGACTATTGAGCAACTATTGCTGTAGTCGCAGTTTGCATGTTTTCTTGTATTTGCTGTACCTTTTTTTAAAAATACCCCTCTTTTCTATCCATTTCAAAAATACCTCTTTTCAAATATGAAAAATTGAAAACTTTTATATAGTTTATAAGATACATCTAGATCATCATTACTACTAGGAGACTCAATGCAGATATTTAGAAAAGTGTTAAAAGGTTCTAAACGACATTTACAAGACTTTTATAAGGTTTTAAAAAACTTTACAAAGTTTTATATGGTTTTTAAATGATTTTAAAAGGTTTTTAAAAGGTATTTATATGTTATTTATGAAATATATATAAATTTACACACATATAAAGATAATTTGTGTCTATATATATAAGGTTACACATATGTTTTTGATAAATTTCAATTTTTTGTGACTTTTGGATTAAATTTGAAAGAGAAGTATTTTTAAAAAGTGGTATTGAAAAAAATGATATTTTTGAAATTCTCCCCAAATTAATTTGGACCTAACAAAGATCCAATTTAAAAATTCGGGGTAAAAATTAAAATTGACCCAACCTAAAGTACAAATAAGATAAATCTATATCTTATTAAGAACTTCATTATATTTGAAAACTATATGGTTGTATTTTGTTTCATTGCATGATATGTTCTAAACATATGAATAAATTCTAATTCGATCATTTTTAAGCTCTCTGACTTGAATCAATCCATGGGTGTAATCTTGGGCGATTTTTTTTCACGAAATAGACTCTTAGCAACTCCTATGTTCGAAGCCAGATGCTTTTTGGTTTTTACTATATGAGCTTATGTCATGCACATAGACTTTAACAAATTTATAAATTTTATTAAATAATTTGTATTATATATATATTAGATAAATAGAAAACATCATTTATGCATCTTCAAATCGAATTAATATTCCTTGTTTGATAGAAAAATTATATTATGGAATATGTTTTGAAAATTATAAGAAAAATGATAATTATAGTGAATGACACAATTTATCCTATTTGTTTTCAACATTTATCAAATATTTAAATGATCAGAAGGGTTATATAATTTTCTAGGTCATAAATTTCAATTTTTAATAATATTAAAAAACGAAAAAGCCAATGCATTTAGTATATATAGAAGATTAAAATTTTTAATATTAAAATTTTATATTTTTAAGTCTATTTAATATTATTATATGTTTAACCATCAATTTTACAATAAAATATTTGGAGACTTAGAGTTTTGAAGGAAAAATAATACTATACGATTAAAGGGAATTAAATAGATGAAAACAAAACATTGAGGTATTTACCCAAAAAGAAAAACGAAAAAAAATTGGGATTGATTGTGATTTTTAACACAAACCACCAAAACTGCGTGCCCAAAAAAAAAAAAAAAAAAAAAAAAAAAAAAACGAACCACCAATAACTCTTTTTTCATATTTATATATATAAAAGGAAATTAGATGTTGAAAAAATATATTTTATGCTAGTGTGGTTAGACCGTTAGAGCATCATCTTGGGTCAAATCCGGCGACCACAAAGGATGTAACATGCATCTACTACAGCTCACTATTACAAGTCCCACCGACACTATCGCCAAAGCTACACGTGATTCCAACGTATCAATCACTCATTTGAATCATCATCACATTTTTTATAAAACAAAACAAATCCGATCCAACACAAGTGGAACATAAAGTATTCCAAATCTCCACACAATAGTATATAACTTTGAAAAAAAAAAGAATATTTAAAAATAAATTAAACCGACAATGATGACACAAGAAAACAGAAAATAAAGACAAGATTCTCCAACCGAAGCAAACGTCATGTGTCACATCACATGAGCCAAACTCCAAAACAGAGTCCGACCATCGCCGTTACGACAGTACTTGTTCGAGTAATCATCGCCGTTACAGCGCCATTTTTATCATCAGCCACCTCGCTGTCATCATCTGATGGAGCATCAGCGCTAGGTCCGTCAGCGGCCTCCGCCTTCTTAGGCTTTTTCTTACTCGACTTAGGAGCTGGAGCCGCCGTCTTAACGGCTTTATAGATCTCTCTAGGCAACAACACTTTATCAATCTTGTAAATGATCAACGGCTCTTGATCCTTTAACGTACCCATTACCTCCGCGGTCACAACGTCGGTCTCGAGTGTCACATCCTCTCCGTCATTCTGAACGGTGAAATCAAACTTGTTGTCACCTTCCGTCGCTAACGTGTTAACGGCTCCGTTACCTGACCTAAGCATCTGTAACGACTGGTAAACCGGCATGCCGTGGTACAACACTAACGCCGTCTTGTTCGCCGGAGAAAGGGCTTTGAATTTCGGCATGAACTTACCAACCGCGCTGTCGGACGGACAGAACACAGTTAAGCCTCCGTCTACGGTGTCTTGGAACGTTTTGTCGGCACCGGTTGATTTCAAGATGTCGGAGAAAGCTTTGCATCCTTGTTTCTCGAGGATTGTGGTGAGGATCAGGTCGCTGGGACTCGCGGTGGGTGCTTCAGCTTCGGGCGAAGTTAAGACTTGGCTTATATGAAGAACAGAGATGTTATAAGCCTTTTCAAAGATGGATTTAACGTAATGAGCTGTGAGCTTGCTATCATCTTCTTGGACACCAAAAGCGACTTTCCCCCCTTTTATATCCGTGATGTTAACGTATCCAGAAGTTCCTGTCGCTGACCCGGTGGATTGAAACATGGAGGCAGTGGAGGTAGAGCCGTCGGTGATCTGGTGTAGTTTCTTGGCGCCATAGTAATCAACCAAGACATGGAGAGAGAGAATGTTACGAATTGTGTAGAGAGAGTATCCTTTGGAGAGGATTGAGGACATTGCTGAGTTATCAACGGCCAAGACGGTGATCGTTTGACGGCGGTTGATCTCATCGGCGAGATGAGTAGCTGAGAGGTAGTGGTTGAAAGTGGAGAAATCAGGGTTTTTAGCCAAGATTCGGGTTATGTTATGTGCATTTGAGAGAGAGGACAAGAGATGGAGCTGGACAATGAGAGCCAAAACGGTGGCTACTCCCCGGAAAGATGCCATTTTCGGGAGGAGGACTCGGCGGCTGTGATAGAATAGAAGACTTGTGTGGTACCAATTTGGGAGAGTGGTCTTTTATAAAATATAAGAGATAGATAAAAATAATAATAAGCACAAAGCTGTCTCGCATATTTCCAGCGCAGTAGCAGGTAAGTGGGCTCTACATAGGTTGAGTCTTGGTCACATTTGAAAGTAACATGGATTCACAAGTTACATATAACATACTCCGACCGACACTTATTTACCCATTTCAAAACTATCATTTATATAGTACTAAAATAGCATTGAGACACCGTTTTTATCTTTCTATCTACCTATTAACACCGTTTGAAAATGGGGAAAAAGCCATTTCATACATGTACACGTCCAAAAAGTATTAATCGTCAATTTATACCTAAACCTGAACATTTCAAATCGAGCCGAATTCGGAGTCCACGTTAATAGAGCTAAGTCAACTATGACGGGTGCTGACTCAGATTCTACGTGTGTGATGATGTGGCATCGGCTCCTATACGACGTCGTTTTGTTTAGTTTGCTTTGGAAAAAAAGTTCAAAAAGCCAAGACCCGTGGCTCAAACCCGAGTTCTTGTGTTCGTTTAGCTTAGTACGTAACCAACTTATCCCATGACCACATTCATAATATTGTTAAACGTTTAGACTTATACCTTGTTGTTTCGAATTGGAGGAAATAACAATTTCTAGGGTTTATTTGCGATTTGGGTTTTATTTTTTCTTCTTCTTCTTCTTCTTCTTCTTCTTCTTCTTCTTCTCTAAAATTGACGACTTGAAGTGACGAAGGAGGTTGAAGAGTTGAAAATGCAGCTTCGTAGCTTGAAGAACATCGTAGTGTTTGTTTTAGTGATAATTTTCTTTTTTTAGGTTTATATTTTGAGTATGAGTCTAAGCAAATACTAAGAAATTTCAGTTTGGTAGCCAATGTCAATTTCAAGTCGTCAATTTCAGAGGAAGAAGAAGAAGAAGAAGGAAAAATAAAACCCAAATTGCAAATAAGCCCTAGAAATTGTTATTTTTCCCCAATTCAAAACAACATGGTTATAAGTTAAAAAGTTTAACAATGTGGTCGTGGGATCAGTTGGTTATGTACTAAGCTGAACGAGCATGAGAACCAGGGTTCTAGTAATGGGTGTCGACTTTTTGAATTTTTTTTTCCAAAGCAAACTAATCAAAACAACGTCGTATGGGAGCCGATGCCAGGTCATCACACACATGGAATCTGAGTCAGCACCCGTCACAGTTGACTTAGCTCTGTTAACGTGGACTCCGAGTTCGGCTCGATTTCAAATGTTCAAGTATGAATTTTGAATTTTAATGGAGTACATGTATAAATTGACATTACTTGCTTGTACAAATTGAAATTGACACTTCTGGACATGTACAAGTATGAAATGACCATTTTCCCGTTTGAAAACCAAACACCCTTTTTCCTTACAATTTGTCTTTATTGCTCTTCTACCTTAGAGCATGGCTATGGCTGCATGGCAATTGGTGTCCCTCTTATTTTGGTCCCATGGTTAAAATATGATTATTTTGATCATGGGACCATTGTATGATTTTTATTTATGAGCATTGGTGTCCCATTGTTTTTGGTAACATGATTAAAATAATAAGAATTTGTGTTTTAAAAAATTAATAATTTAAATTAATAAGTAAAAACATATTAAAGATTGGATTAATATAAAACATATAATATTAACATTGAAAACATTAAATAATTACAAAGTTACTAAAAGTTGAAAAAGAAAAAACATACAATTAAGACATTAAAAATATAAAACATAAAACATACAAAGATCAAAAATAAAAACAAACATTTTATTCAATTCATAGAAATTTTAAAATTAATCATCATTATCTAGAAGATGTCCAAAGTTAGTCCAAATATGCTCAATTATCCCTTATGACCAAAAAACATCACACATAACGACCATAAAAAAAAACATCACCCAATCATAAAACACCACGTGGTGCGAGGGACTTGTATAATTTTTCCCAATATTAAGAACGTCCTTCACAATAATCCTTTTATGATTTATTTTTAAAAGAAAGAAATACATGGGACGGAGCTTACTAACGCCAATGCAAATGCTCTAAGTCCCCCTTTACTAACTAGACCACTCAGCCAAACTAGTTTTTTTTTTCCATTCAATCTTAATAATGATTCAATAAAAAACATAAACTCTCATCCATCGATTCCAGAAACAGAGATATTAGAAAAAAAACCTAGATGACCCTATTTCTTTTTATGGTTTTGCCGTTCCAATTTAGAAGATATTTTAAGGACCTATCTTCTTTCTTTCTACTCATCGATCATTAAACAAAGGACGCTTCACAGTCTCTTTGGTGTTGTTTTTCCTGGTACCTTCTTGCTTTATTTCTCCTCTTTTTTCTTAGTCACATTTTGTTTAGGTTTCTGCTCTTTTCTGAAATTTGATCTTCTTACTGTTGAAAAATCTCTCAAATCCGATGTGTTTCCGCCTGATTTTTAGGTAATGATACTCAGATCTTACCAATTTTTAGAGTTTCAATAATTTTAATGCTTGACCGGCTTTTGTTATAGTTTTGGTTTAAATAGACTTCTTATTTTTGGTTTGAGGTTTGGAAGTGTACGGCAGTTTGAATCTATTTTTTTTTGGAGCTGATTTAATTTAGGTTTTATTGATGGATCCCTTGATTTGAGTTTTTTGGTATAAGCGTGTGCTTGTATATACGGTATCTGATGATTGCGTGGATGCGATTGTGTGGATGTATTCTTGTGGATACTTTTTTCGTTTGAGTAAATGTTGTGTTTAGAGGACTATGAATGTCTAGCTATATTGACGTATTGTGGATGTTGTGGATGATTGACGAACACATTATACTATAGAAAAATGTATCTAAGTATAATGTTCATTTATTCATGGATTCATTGATTTTCTTGGTTGTATGACTTTTATTTGACAAATGTTTTCATACCCAATTCATGTGAAATGTCTTAGAAATGTAGTACTCCATGTATTATAAACAAAATCATGGTTAAAAGTGTTATGAATAAAAATAGAAAGTAGCATACACATGTTAAGTTATGAATGTGGTATGTTGTGTTTATGTGGATGTGATATTTATGGATGCATTTTCATGGATGTGGTCATGTGGATGCCTTCACGTGGTTATATGTAAGGTGACGGGACGATGCGTATGGACGACTTGATTTTATGGATATAAAGAATGAAATACTCTATATTCTTGAAATTAATGAGGCAATTGTAAAACAATATCATAGATTGATAAGGCCTCTTTGTATAAACTATTTTACAAACAATTTTGTTTGGTGTATGGTGATTTTTGTGCAAAAAATGTTGATTATGGAATAATTAAAGTCTACAACGTCATGTCTTTAGCTTCTCCTCACGTGACCAAAAACATGAATATGGATCAAGAAAACAAGAGTCAAAAGATAAATACAAAACGAGAATCACTTGTAAGTTGTAACAATGCATGAAGATCTTCACCATCTCTTACAAACAGCAAAAAAAAACTAAAATTGTTATAAAAAAAACACACACAAACAAATTCGATTGACTTTTGAAATGTGAAGAGAATAGATATCTACTTCTCCCCCTTTTCTCTGTTTTTTCTTCAACTTATGTTTGGAAAATTTTGGAAGGATAAAAGCACTACTTATTATTTAAAAAACGTGAGAATAGCTAACTTAAAATGCTTAATCTCTTGCTCTTTTGCTGCATTTTTAGTTGTTTGACTTTTCCCTCATATGAAACAACATATATCCAGTAGTACGAAAGAATATACCCCTAAAACTTATATATTTACTAAAAAAAGAACCAGATGAACCATAAAATTGTATTGAAGAGATTCTTAATTATAATTGTTGACTCAAGAACATACAAAGTGATACAAGTCCTTTAAATATCCCATATGTACGACATAGTCAAAAATGAAAACACATCCAAAGTACGACATCCATATGGACAACACTTAGTGAATGAGTCGTTGTCGGTAATTGTGTGGATGTGCTTTTGTGGATATATTCTTGTCGTTACATGTGAGGTAACATTTTCTCTTTGTGGATATGTACTTGAGGGCACTTCAGCACCTTGAAGCCGATCCATGAACTGGTTAGAGACATATTGAAAGACCGAGGACCTTTCCGATAATGGTAGACCTAAACATGATTTCTCTTATCCTCTAGGATCTTGCACAGCTTTTTTCTTGTTTGGGAACATCTCTAAAAAGAAGAATCCATAAACCAAGGATAAGGACGCTTGAATCATCCCTTGTTGAATGATCATACCATGAATCTTCCTCACCTGTATGTATGCTCATTGTTCTTTAAAACCCATAAACCTTTGCTTTCATATGACTGGAAACAGTAAAATGCGAACCATATCAGAAGTGGATCCTAATACCCCATTAAAATTATTCATTTTAGTAAAGATAAATCATGAATGCAAAGTTCGGAGGCATACCATTTCCTCTTCATTGTCAATTCGATTCAATCTCTCACGAGTCACGCCGTCCAAGAGAGAAAGTGTGAGTTCTATCTACCCCAGAAATTTAGATTTCGTAAAGTCAAACCTTCAACACGAATTAACGGCTCGTAAAAAATATGTTTTCTTTAATTGCGACCCAAAGATCAATCTATAGAAAATTGAAACCTAATCACTCAACAACGAGTGTTGAAAATATCTGAAAGTCTAGAAACGACCAAACTCTCTCCTTGTGTATCTTATCCACACAATCCCTTTCTAACCTAGAAAAAGACACGATTTAAGTCTCTCCTTGTGTCCTTTATTTCCAGCCACACGATTTAAGTCTCTATAGTTAAGATCCTAGGGCCAGTATTTAATTGTGACTAACCAGCTTGTTTAAGCTTTCGTGTCTTTGGGTTTGAGAAGAGGGGCAAAACAGTCCAATTTTCTTGCGACAGTGATAAAGCAACCCTAAAACGGTGCCTAAACTAGAAACGGTCCTAAACTGAAGGGCCAGTCACAAAAATGGTGCCTCGTTGCAAGATTCCCATATAGTAAAGAGAAGGCAAGCACAAACATGAACTTCAACTTG